CAGATAACAGTCCAACACAAGGGTGCCTTGTCGGCAGGCCCCTTTCATCTCACAGTCCTACCATCTCATCTCCTGGCAGATAAGGGAAAAGAGAGTGATCAAGGCATCCTTGATTCTTAAAAACCTCAGCTCAGAAGGTACACGCTTCACTTCCACTCACGTTCCACTGGCTGCTCTCTCTGCCCCACCTCAGTCTGTCCTTCCCTCACAGTTGACCCAGTTTCCTGGTGTGGCTGCAGGGGCCTCGCAGTAAACCAGACACTCCCAGGGAGACCACACCCTTACCGGCGCCAGGTGGAACCTCACAGCTGCCTGAGAGCCTGGGCTTAAGAGTCAGATGCCAGTGACAAGTGACAAACCCAGGTTAAAGTCCCAATTCACTTCTAATATGCTAGGTAACCTTGAGCAAGTTACTTAACTTAAGCCTCAAAGAGTCATAACGAGATAGGCAGAGCATCTAGCACAACATTGGGCTTGTGGGAAGTGCTTAACAAAAGTTAGCTATCGTGTTCCTTGCAGTCCCCCGGTCAGACTGCATAGGCCAGAGGAAGGTCCCTAGACCCTGGGACATTTGCTCCTGGCCACTGGAACCATCTGCATGGCATTCATGAGAACAGGGAAGAAGAGTTGGCCCCTTGTCTCTCTTCTTCACCCTCCTCTGAGTTGACACCACCAGAGAAGTTGAAGCAGAAACAAACGTAGGGAAGGAAGAGCCGTGGCAGGGGAGCAAGCAGGGGATAACAGAGAAGGGATGGCAGGCAGAGAGAGCATGTGAGTGAAGGGACAAATGGGGGAGCAAGTGGGGTGGCCGAGAGTCTGAGTGAGGAGCAGGCTCAGCAGGGAGGACAGGAGAGGCATGTGGGACATGCCCTGGACTTCTCCCAGCCCAGCTTCTGTCCACTTCTCAGGGGATGTGGATATGGGTCTTGGAGATGGTCCTTCTCCAAACTGGGTTGGGTGGTGATCACTCAAGTGTCCGCCCACGAATGCGCTAATATTATTTGCCACTTGCTGTGGGTTGAACTGTGTCCTCTCAAAAAGATACGTGGATGTCCTAAACCCTGGTATCTGTGAAGGTGACCTGATTTGGAAATAGGGTCTTTCCAGATGTGAGTTAAGAGGAGGTCATCCTGGAGTAAGGTAGGCCCCTAATCCAAGATGACTGGTATCCTTGTAAGAAAAGAGGAGACACAGGGACAGGCACACTGAGAGGAAAATGTGTGTGAACACAGAGGGAAGATGGCCACATGACCACAGAAGCAGGGACTGGAGTATTGCCCTGCCATCCAAGAAACACCAAGGCCTGTTGGTCATGACCAGAAGCCAGGGGTAGAGGCGTGAGCAGATTCTCCCTCCAAGCCCCCAAGTAGGAACCAACACTGCTAACACCTCTATTTTGGACTCTGGCCTCCAGAACTGTGAGAGAATACATTTCTGCTGTTTTAAGCCACTCAGCTTGCAGTATGTTCTTATGGCAGCCCCAAGAAACAAATACAGCACTTGTGCATTTAACAAATATCGTTGCGCACCCATCATTCTTCGGGCATTATGAACTAAACAGATTTGATTCTTGCCTTCATAAAGCTTACAGTCTGGTGGGAGAAGCAGACATCAAACAGTTAACTAGGAAAGTCCAGGGCTACCTCTCCCTGTACCCCAATCGTGAGGGCAGAAATGGGGTCTTGCTCACTCTTTATCTCGAAACCCTAGCACAATACTTCAAATGTAAAAGTTTAGTTAAAAGTAGACCCCCTGAAGCTGGGTTACCTTGAGATCAGTCTCTCCGTGGTGTCCCATTCAAAGCAAAAAAAGCCTCCAAAAGCCTTGAACAATGCTGCAAGTCTTTAGTCAAGATTCCTTGAGGAGGTGGCAGTGGGTGGGGTTTTACATCACAAGGCACACAGCAAGATTTCCTAAAAATCCTCTCTAGGCTGCCCCTGGCCGCAAAGCTTCATTCCTCAGTGCAGCTGGTCCCAGTTCCCTTCCATCTCACCTGCCTCTGTCTGGAGGTTTTCTCCAACTCCTGCTCTTTTCTCCTGCAAATAAATTTGACCTCTGTTGGCTTCTCAAAAAGAGTTCTGCTTAAATACCGAGAGAAGGAAGGAGCTATTGGATATTTCAACTTCATTTTTTGTTCTTCTCAAGAACTCATGAATTATCAAATGAATGAGAAAACAGCCAGCTCCAAGTGGCCTCAGTAGGAATGATTCTGCATTATTTAAGCAGACCTGGAAAGCCCAAAACTCTAACATTATGCAGGAACCCTTCTCCTAGGGCAGGAAATTAACGCCTTTCATAAAGTATCTCCATCATTTGGTTTCTCACATGGGGCCTCTGGTATGGTAGAAACCTTTGAATTTTCCTCTGTTTGGCTACAGCTCACTGCTTGGTCAAGGTGCCCTACTGGAGACCAAAAAGAAGAACCTGGGCTGGGGATTTACCGATGTGGGCTCTTGGGGAAGTCCCTCCACTTCTGCCAGTCTCAGCGTGACCTATGCAAAATGAGAGGATTCTACTAGACACTTGAAGGCCAGAGCAAGCTCCAGAATGCAATAAACTTAGGCAGCAGGCAGGAAGGGTGAAAAAGATCAACCCAACGACAGAACCTCAGGTCGAGAATCTTTGCGAGTTCTCTGTTAACAGGACCTAGTGATTTGCCTCAGCTCATCAGCTTTTATTCGGTCACAGTTTCCTTAAGAGATTCACAGAGCAACTGGCACCCTTAGAAGAGCAAATGACCTTGACACCACTCTCATCATATCTGGCCCAGCAGAGGCCAAATGGCCAGCAGAGAAATCCCCAATCCCGCCATGAGGGAAACTCACATTGAAAGGCTGGGGAAGCTCTAGAACTGTGCTTGACAGGACCTGACACTTAGCAGTGGCCAGAGACTTGCTCCTCTCGATACTTTAATGCCTGGAATTCTAAATGTCTTGCTGTTATTAATTTATTGGGTATTGACTGTAATTATCCCACTTGTAATGAATTCATTTGGTATGAATTTCGATGTCATATATACAGTACTTTCATAAGAATTACTGTATTATTTTGCATTAATTAATCTATCTTTAAAGTGAAATCTTAACAATCAACTCATATTACTTGGATCCGTAAGCCACTGACAGAGCCTTTATTATAATTATTATTATTTATAAACTGTGTAAGGTATTTTCAAATATGTGCGTTCACAGGTTTCTTCCAACACCCTCTTTCCCTATCTATACATCACTGCTGCCTTGCCAAATAGATTTGTCTAATCAATACCTCAGTGTCCTTATCTTTAAAGATGTCACCTTGTGTTTGCAGCTGTTAGCCCGTCACGACACGTAATGATTTCTGAGCTGCTTCTGTAGCAGTGAAATGTATCATATTTTTACACCACATTCATTTTAAGGACCATCCAGATAGGAAAACCATCAGGATCTTTTTTATTAAGCCACGAAAACATTCTCCTGATTGTTTAACACACCTTATCACAGAATGGTCAATTCACCAATAAATAAAATTATATTTTAAAATGTGAACATTAGAATCAGATTACTCTGAGGGGAAGGATATTTTAAGTCATATGACTTCATACGAGCATATTTAGCACGTCACCTCAAATATCCTGATGACAAGTGAAAAATGAAAAACAATGCAGATATTTGTCACATTCTAACCAGACACTGGATATTGTAAAGAAACAGCCCATCAGTTCTCTGGTACAAACGGGAATGGAGAGAGACAAAACACATCAATGCTAGAAAAAGAAATTCAGAAAAGAAGCACACGCCAGTAAATCATTGTGGTGCTGACACTTCTTGAACTTGACCTTAAAGATCTCAACAGCGAAAGAGTTATTTTTAAATGGGTCAAACTGTAAACTTAATTTATGTGGGGTCTTGAGATATGGACCCAAAGCAATGGTGACATACATATATAATTTTGAGTTAGACAACTCATTTTATTCATTTCATTAATTTCACACACAAATTTCTGACATTTGATTAGCCCTCTTAGTATTTAATCCCCAAATCCCAAGAGCAGATGCCTAATGCCTACTGAATTCTTTTTTATTCCACTGTGTGTATGTATGTAAAACACAACCTAACACAGGGTGGTGAATAGTTATCGTAAAGCACAGGATTGTATTAACGTGCATCCTTGTTGACTTTCATTGGGAAGATGGTGTGAGTCTCCTTGAGACATTGTTTGTCTCACTCGTCGGCATGACAGTATGATGTATACCATCCATCATGCTCATTTCCTTCACGCATTCTCTGCCCTATTGGATCAGGCACGAGATGATGGGAATCTTATGAAAACTCCACGATTTGTTTATTACAGAAGGTTTATTTAAGGCTATCACCATGACCTGTATCCATTAGTAACCTCACGCGTTCTTAAAGGGACACTAATAACAATACCCGATTTTTAAAAAAATCCTACCGAGCTTTAGTAAAAACCCATGTAAAAGGCGTTTTTTAACTCTACTTCTCCATTGCTTTCTCATCCCTTTTGAGATTCATTTTGAGTTCTATTCACTTGTCCACAAAAAAAGACTTCAGGACTTCTTTAGTTAGCCAGTGTTACATAGTGAGGTACACTAAAGAAAAGAAAAATAAAAATGCCCTACAATCTTTTTTGGTGAAATTGAATTCTCATAATTGGACTTGGTTTTGAAATGTTTATCTACCAACACAGAAAGAAAAAACAAATCCAGCTGCAAGTTGTAGCTGCTCCCTCCCATCTACTAAACCAAATCCATCACACGTCCCAGAGTAGCTGCTGTGCTTATGGTGTTCTCCAGACACCAAGCGAGTTTAGCCTCTGGGAGGTTACTACAAATGCCTTATGGGATAAACTCACTGCCCATGGCATCCAGCAAAGAATCGAGCGTCTGATCAGGTGCTCCCTGGGAAAACAGCTGCATTGCTGAAAAGATGAGTCTGGCAAGTCCCTAAAGAGCATGCATGGATGAGGCCCCACCTTCCAGTGCACACGCTAAAAGCTCTCACCTTAGCTTTCCATTTGGATGACAAAGGCAGGGGTGTGAGTACTGGGGGATTAAATTTGCAGGTCCACAGAGCATAACTCCATTCAAAATCATGTCAAGGGTCTGCAAAAGAGACACATAAAGCACTACATTTTTGAAGTGTTTAGTGTGCCCACATGGAAGCGCTTTTTGTGTCCAGATATACGAAGTTAAATAGAAGGTAGTTATAGCCATTGTTAACCACAGTCTGCACATGGCGACAACGCTCCACAGACTTCAGCGCTATGTTCTGGTTTACCCAAGATTCAGCGGTTGGTTAAGCGGGCCAGGCTGGAGCCTCAGGGGCCTCCTTTAGTCACTGTCGAACCCAACCCCACCCCCCACCCGCCCTCATCCCCACCAAAGCACACCGAGTTCCCTGCCAGGGAAGATGAGCCTTAGGGTGTTCAAAATATTGGAAGTCCTTTTGGAATACCAAAGTACACCGAGGGCTAAATTAATTTTCTCACCTTCTGTATGGGTTTGTGAGGGTTGCCCTAACAAAGAATCGTAGACGGGGTGGCTTAAACAGCAGAAACGTATTGTCTCAGTTCTGGAGGTGAGAAGTGCAAGATCAAGATGTCAGCAGAATCAGCTCCTTCTGAGGGTCCTGGGGGAAGGGCTGGCTCCTCGTCCTGTAGACGGCCAGCCTCTCCGATGTCCTCCTATGGTCCTTCCTCTGCGCCGGTCTGTGTCCTAATCTCCTCTTCTCATAAAGACATCAGTCATTCTGGATTAGGGCCACTCTAAGGACCTCCTTTAACTTAATTACCTCTGTAAAGACCCTGGCTCCAAATAAGGCCACATTCTGAGGTGGACTGGGGACCAGGACTGCAACACGTAAATTTTGAGGGGACACAATTCAGCCCATCACACCTTCCCATGAGTACTTGGGTGTCAAAACACACAACGTTTTAGTCACTTTTCTTTCTGTTTTTCTCCATAAGTGAATAAGACAAACAGATTAAGGACTGAGTTTGGGGAGCTAGTTCATGCCTGTGTTTCTTTGCCGGCTCCACGAAACTCAGTAGAGAAAAAAAGAACCCCACCAAATAAATTATTGTATTAGACGGGGAGGGAGAGCAGGATGCAGGGGGTGACTCCAGGGCACGGCACCCGGATCAGCGTGCTGGCCGGTCGGAAGCCTTGCAGAGCCCGGACTGAAAGCAGGACCATTCATTCCCACGGCAACGTATCTAGAACAAAAGCGATCCTAATGTTACTAATACTAAACAACAAGAACAGTAAGGCCAGCACATTTAGAAGAGCTTGTCTTCAGTTACCAGATGAAGGGAAGATGATTCCGTCTTGAATGTCAACCACCTGACAAAAGAGTCCTTGGTTTTCCTCACACCGCTGAACAAGGAGGAAGGCTCTCAGGAGGTCCTTTAAGAATGAGATGTGGGGCTGGCTCCGTGGCCGAACGGTTAAGTTCGCGCGCTCCGCTGCCACGGCCTAGGGTTCGGATCCTGGGCATGGACATGGCACCGCTCGTCAGGCCATGTTGAGGCGGTGTCCCACATCCTACAACTAGAAGGACCTGCAACTAAGATATACAACTGTGTACAGGGGGGGTTGGGAAGATAAAGCAGAAAAAAAAAAAAGATTGGCAACAGTTGTTAGGTGCCAATCTTTAAAAAAAAAAAAAAAAGAATGAGACGTTCGTGTCAAACACAAATTCAGTAACAAGACTGTGGAGCAGCATTCAGTCTACTTTTCTTGAATCAAATGCAGGAAGTCACTTAGTTTCAACTCTTGCTTGGAAGATAAAATGATCTCATAATCTCCCAAGACGCATAACCCAACATGCACAAAAGAACTAGAAATTATGTGCTTTTGTTCCCAGTATGGCAACTTTTTCCTTCCACTTCTTTTCTGTACAAACATCTGAAGAAACTGCCTAGAAACTATGGGGAGTGGTGCTGTAAGGAAGGGGAGGGTTCCTTTTAAGGAGAGGGAAGAGGATGAGAAAAACGCTTTCACGCTGAACCACGGGACTTGGTAAAGTAAGCTTAATTTTTAAGAGATGGTCCTAGCATCTCATTTGAATTTATTAATAACAGAGTAGACTTATCTTCAAAATCTTCCTGGGAAAGCACAAAATAGACCATCCCAAACTCAGCAAAAAGCCTAAGACACCATCTGTTGCTATGTTGAACCATTTGACTGGGGGAGAGAGACAGGAGACAGCTGACGGACGGGAAGGCACTCAGACACATAAATACCCACTCTGAGTCCTCTGCTCGGGAGCCTAAAGGAGAAAAGGGACCTCATGGATGCCTAGCTGGGATGCTGGGATCATTATATTCTAAAAAATGGTGAAAGCCTGTAAGTGGCACATTTATGTAACTTTACTGAAGCAAGTTAGATTAAACAAGGGTGTCAGAGAAATTTGATATAAGGAATATTTTAATGCTGCTTTGAAGGGATTTCCCCTCTAAAACACACACAGCCACCATTTGACGGTCGTTTATTTGCTAAACTATCATTAAATTGAACATCAATTTAAACCAGCCTCTAAAACAATGTATGGCTGGCAGTTTTCCCTACCACACCAGAATTCAGCTCCGTTTCAGAAGCGTTAACCGGAAAAGATTTCCCCGGAGATAAAATACTTTTTAAAACACATTGCATGGCAAAATGCAGCCTTGTCTTTTTCAGGAACACCATGCTTTTGGCACCAGCCCCCAATGTCTCTGAACATCAATGTCCACTTCAAGCAGTAACGTGCGTGAGCAGAGAATGGCTTCCCAGATATGCCGGGTAAACAGCGGTTTGATTAGATCATCTGGCCCTTAATAAAGAAGAATGGGAACAGCAGAACACCACCAGACCAAATGTGTTGGCTTTGCAGCCGGCGCAGAAAACGCTCCTCCAGCCTCAACAGCAAATCTCTCTGGGTTGTCCCCGCGACTTCAAGTTGACCCACAACGACAAAGCCCAAGGGAGCAGTTAGCACACTAGCTGAGAGCACGTCCTGTCTATGATTGGTACAGTGACATGTGCGATGTGGCCACGCTGGCTTTCAGCGCCGCTCCCGGACCTCCGGAGCCGGCTGCCGTGAGGCCTCCGGGCGGCTGTGCCCGAATCAGCCGGTAGATGGCGCACCAAGCTACGGACTCAGCCTGGCGAGCCGCGAGCAGCTCGGGCCGGCGAGGCAGGCAAAGATCTTGATTCATAAAAAACATAAATTCTACTTGATGAACAATAATAATAAAGGAAATTGACTACTGGGCACCATAGAGATGAATTTTCAAAGCCCCGAAATCAGCTTATTTGAGATTATTTAATTTAATTTACTAAATTTGAATAACTGCGATGTAATGACGCATGGCAGGGCATTTAGGTTTTACAGCTTCTAAATGCTTCTCTTTAGGGCGATTGTACTCAGTCTCATGGTCGCCAGAGAACTCAGTCCCCATCCCCAAGCCGGGTAAACAAATTGAGAAGAGAATAATTACACACTGGGAGAAAGACAAGGAGAATCTACTGAGGGCAGAGATTTCACTACAAAATTTCCCCTTTTTTCAAGTAATAAACTACCTCAAAAGTACTCAAAGACCAGTGTCACAGACTTTATTCATATAAGCACAGCAGCTGAGCCTAAGCTAAGCACTTTCCAGGTGCTTCTTGCAGTAGAAGCCTCATCTCAATAAAACAAGGAGGATCTACAACAATATTTATAAATTTAAGTTAGTGAATGTATATTTCTAATGGCTTCTAAACAGACAAATTAAGACCTGCAAAATCTAGAAATTCTGTTCATCCTTTGATCAACAAAAATTTTCTACAAGTGGATGTAAAAAGGCCTTTTATAAAAATGCAGCCGCCACATTCCCCTTGGTGTAGCTCCTGTGCACACATTCTGTGTTTGCACAAATGTGCATGTGTATCTGCATAAATATAGGGAGTTGCACACACACACACACACACGTATTAATTCAAGTATCCCTGAGAGTGTGCACATGTATGGGGCTGTATATGCTTTCTGGGTACCACTCTCCTCTACTGTTTTCAGCATAACTGATTTTGGCACCAGCTCTTTAGCACTCTGGAAGGGCCTTCATTAGCACTGGGATAGTATCCAAAAAGAATCTAGAAAAATCAACACATGGCTGCTCTTGTTCTCACGATAAATGACAGCTTTGGTGGAAAACAACAACAGTTAAGAAGCAAAACAAAAACCAAAAAGCAACAAGAGTAGCAATAACATGAATAGAGGAAGTCAGACATCACTAACTCAGATTTTTTTTAATTTTAATTTATTTATTTATTCAATTTTTACAAGCCTCTTCCTTTGCCACTGAGCCTCCGGGTACTTTCACACAATTAAAAATATAAATAGTGAATATATGTTCACTATATATATGTTTCACCCTAGGAAAAAACAACAGTCATGTGGGCTTATGTCTCTTTATAGACACAAACATGCTTATTATATTCTTTAAAATGTGTGAAAGCTGTAACTGACACATTTGTGTAACTCTACTGTTACGGTATGACAGAAACTGCCCATTAAACCATATCAGCCCCCAGACTGAATGCTGTCAGTTGAATCATACACACCCATAATCCGCCATTCTTTGGAACCAGGGTTCTGAAGAGATGAGCCTTTCTTGGAAAACAGAATCTCCCTAATTATCTCAAAGTCTTGTCTCAAACCATTAATAGGAACTCTTGTGCTGTTCAGATGCCGTGAGAATGTGTGGGGAAAGCAGTGATTTCTAAACTAGTCAAAAACCCAGTCATACCCCGTGTGTGTGTGTGTATGTGAATATGCCCTGACCCCATGCCTTAATAGGTAAATAAAGAATCACATTTGGAAGAAAAGCAGTAACCAAACAAACTACAGAAGGCTTGGATTCAAAGGGTTAATTCCTCCTCATCACCTGTCAAAACAAGAGTGGAAAACTGAAGTGTGCCTGGCCCTTTAAGGCTAGTGGTCTGCCCAGGAGACCAGCCAGACGGGGAGAAAACCCCAATGGGTCCTAAGAAAAGAGAAGTTACTGTGCTCTTCACTCCCTCATCAGCCCTTTGCCTTCTATTTCCTCAGTTTCTCGGTTAGATCTTGTGTGTTGTTTTTGTTGGAGAACCTTGAAATTTTTCAAGGAAAAAAGAACAGGAAAGCAGTGGAATAATTTTTTAAAAACAATAACAAAAAGAGCAAGTGCATAGGCTTTGTAGGCACATGCTTCTGAACAGCAGGAGGGTGAGTGCAGCCTGGGCTAGAACCGTCTGTATGGGGTGCCCTCCACGATGCTGGGGGTGAGGGTCGGAAGAAGAAAGCTGGACATGTGGCAAGAGAAGCATCTGAAGGAACCAAATCATAAGCTCGAGCCATCCTAGAAGTGTGGCTCTGGAGTGATTCGAAATGCACGAACAGTCTGAGATTGTAGATCACAGAAGAGAGGAGGCAAAGCGTCTCCAAGTTCATTCATTCATTCCCCAAGTGTTTATTAAGTGCCTCTGATGTGACAGGCACCCTTTAAGCACTAGGCATGCAAAAGTTAACAAGATATGTCTTCTCAATGCCTTTCTACCTTAGCAGCACGGCCACCATTTTGTCTGACTTCATACTCAGTCGGTGCACAAAATCCTCCAACTCAGGAGGCATAGGTTAAAAATGCTGTGAGTCTGTGGACTGAGAGGAAATGGAGCCCAGAGCTGAGTGTTCCTAAGTAATGTGTGCTGGCAGCTCCTTAAGCTGTCCTACCATCTCCCCTGATCACTATACGCCCAACAGACACCCCCTCAGGGGCTCAGCACTTACTCCAAACTGTAGCCTAAGTATCTGTTGACAACAGCTCATCCTTAGAAACAGCTCCATTTCTCTCTATTGCTGATAATCATTATGAATAAGCTAACGCGATCTCATGTTTGACGAATTGTCTCACTCCCCAAGAAGGGCCTGAAGCTGATGGAAATGTTTCCAAAAGGAGAAGAGATTCCAAGTAGAACAGAGGCTACTTCTTAACAGTCTATTCAATAACCCTTCTCTCTTTCGTCTCCCTCTGAGATGAGGATAGAAGCAGCCTGGCATTTGGCAGGGAGACCAGTGTCAACACTCTCTATATTTACTTATTTATTGGCAGTTTGGAAAGCAGCCATCATTTATGGTCCTTCATACCCAAATAGAGGGAGCGATGATTCCTGCCAACAACGTCTCCACACCACCTGACTGGCCTCTCTCTGCACAAGCCAAGAGGGGAATTGGTCCAGGACATTCATTGTTGGCCGCCATGTCTATAGCACGTTTAATGCTGCCTATACTCTAAAAGACCCCAAATGGAGAAGACAGTGGGTTGCAAGCTTCCTGACATGGTTTAGTTCTCACAGAAGCAAGGTTTGGAAAGACGGAACTTGACTCTATCCATCTGCAGCCACACAACCCCAGTGCAGTCAAGACCATACTGGTGTTCTTCTGTTTGGAAGGTGCAACTGGAGGATGAGGTGGAGACCTTGGCAAGAGTCCCAAAGAGTTTCCTGTACACGTGGAGGATGATATGTTTGAGAAAACTGTCCTTCTGAGAAAAGGCCAAATAAATTGGGATTTGTTTTGGGAGCAAAGAGAGAAAGCTGGGATGGGGATGTGGGACCTATAACAGTCTTTAGAATGATACTGGGGGAGTGAGATTGTCTTTGAATGAGAGTAAATAGTAGCTGTCAACTTCTAGCACAGCGAGAACAAGAAAAACCAGAACATTTTAGAGCCAGCTAGGTCCTTAGCCACTGTCTAGTCTGACCTCTTCATTTGACAGGTGAAGTTCATTTTTCAGGGAAAGATCCTGGACTATAAGTAGCTCTCCTAAGTCTAAATGGAGCGCTAGATGTTCACAATTGGCTGACACCGGCACCAGAAGGATTATTAGACATTATTAGGAGCATAGACTTGTCACCAAAGGCACTCGAGCCACAGGTTAAATTCTAGACCAAGGTAAGCACGTTTGTTGAGTCAGGAGCACAGCACACCCCTTGCCAGGGTTGAGACGCCTTCTGAAATCCTTATAAAGGAATAAGACAAATCGTAGTGGACTGCCTATTATCCTGCTTTAGAAAGCAAATTGGCTGGGAATAGGGCGCAGGGCAGGTTTGACCAGTCCAAAACATCGGAGAATGCGGTTTTCTTAAGTGCTGGAGCAAGCCTAGTTATGAAATCCAGAGAGCCTTCTGCACAAGCAGCTCAGCCGTGGCTTCCCAGGTTGCCCGCACTGATAGGCAATTTCATGGGAAGCAGGTTGTGGACATACCATGTAAGTTACCAAAGCTCAGTGGGCCTCCACCACGGCTGCAGCATGAAATTTCCCGTTTGCTCCACAACCTCCGAACTCAAAGCAAAATTGCCACCAGCTGTGCTTTCAACGTTCTTTCTCCACTGCAAGTGAAGAGTGAAACATTTTTGATGATAACGTGGGTGGAGGAAAATTTAGGGAACCCCTGCTCCACTGACAGTCAGTCAAGATTGACCAAAGTCAAAGTCAACCTTATCGCTCCAGTTGCCATCTGCTCTCAAAGATGACGTCCTATGTGGCCCACCAGATGGAATAATGAGACTGGACTGGAGGTCAAAAAAGACTGGATGTCTTATCTTTCTGATAAGAAAATATACAATCAAGATGTAAATGTGTCCACAGAGGAAATTTGACCTGAACATTTTCAGCTCTTTAAACACTAATCAGGGTTGCAGAAACGAGGTAAGTGATATATTTTCAGTTCCTGAAACACCTTGCTCTCCTTTTCATCCTGTATCTTTGCACCCACCATTCCCTCTGGCATTCCCCAACCCATCTTCTATCTCCACTTGGTTAACTCCCGTTCATCCTTCAAAACCCAACACAAATAGCATCTTCTCAGTGGAATCTCCCAATGTCTCCAAAACAGAATTAAGCACTCCTTCCTCTGTGATCCCAGGCATAAAATATTCTATATTATACATATATGGTAAGAAACAGTAAGGAGGAAAAATAACACGAGATTTGGGGTCAGAGATAAGAGATTCTACATCCCAGCTCCTCCATTTACAATCTCTGTCCTTGAGCAAATTAGCCAATCTTCCTGATCCTTGGTGCAATTCCATCTATAAAATGGGGCACTAATGCCTACTTTAGAATATTCTTGTGAAAATGACATGAGATTAGCAAATAAAGCCCCCAGCGCTGGGCCTGACTCATGGTCAATACTCCACAAGTTGCTCCCTCCCCTTTCTCTTCCCTTCTAAGGCAAAAACGTTTCTTTCATCATTCATTGTGTCCTCAACGTTGAGTACAAAACGTACTAGAACATACAAGGGATTTAATACATGCAATTATGCCACGAATGGGCTAACTAAGGACAAATAGGAGCCAGTTTTTAATCCTAGGATGCCAGGCCTAGAAATGGCTTTAAGCCAATGGTATTTGACCAGATGATCATGATGGAGGAAGTTCAGAGATGGAAAGTAGCAAAGCCCAGACGAGCCCCCTTCTCTCCTGCTCCCAGACCAGGACTCTCCCACTATTTCCCACAGCCAGCACACGCTTACCTGCTTCTAAGTGTTGCGGACAAGAGCCCGTGTGGGACTTTCTGGGAATGCATTTCAGCTGGCCTCTTTGCCCCTAGACCTGGAGGCCGGTAACCAGTCTCGCTCGGTGGCTGCTTTAATATGAATCCCATCCAGCTATTAGTGGTTAAGGGCAATTTCTCATCATCCACACTAATACGGCTTCATTCAAATTGGAAATGATCGATGATTAACAGGCATGAGGAAACATGTTGTGCTACATTCAGAAAGGATGCAAATGACAAAAACATGTTGCCTTCTGGAGAGGCAGGGAAATGGCGTATAGCAGAACGCACCCCGCTCCTTGCACCTCTCTGTCTGGCTAGACGGTTTTATGGCATTTAGCAACACTGTGCAAAGGCACCCACAGCATACCATAACTCTCGCAAAACAGCGTTTTCATGTGCTAATGGCAAGTGAATCAGAAACACATGGATTTAATTTCCTTCAAAATACCCATGGGTATAAAAATCAATGCAGGAAAGCCATTTGGCTAACTATATTTGGGGCTTTTCTGTGCCCAAAAATTGTGAGAAATTGTTGGAGATGGCTGCCGAGCCCAAAACCCCACCAGGTTCAGCCCTCCCCTAGCATAGCCCTGGCCTAATGTGATGTGAAACCCCGGCTGTCTTTTTGGAGAGAGGCAGGTGCTTGCTGTGAGGTACCTTAACGGCTGCCATCTCCGCAGATTTCCTGCTTTCTGCTATTAGTTCATTTGCTCAGCCTCTCCCACCACATAGCCATCAGGGAGATCTCATTTTGGCAGCAGATCGGGATCCCTGCCTGAAAGTTGATAGAGGTTGAGCTATTTGCAGAAATAATGCTTTCCAGACGTACTAAACAGTACCCCTCTTTCCAGATGGAGCGGCATTAGTGTTGCTTCCAGCCATTTCCTCACCTTCTGGTATACTTGTCAGTTCTCCCATATGCACCACAAGCCTTCCGTATTCTGGGGAATCTCGGAAAACTGCTCAGACCCTCAGCTCCTCGCCACTTGCATGCACAAATGCACGCATGCACACATTTATACAGCCTCTGCGCTTATGTATGCACATAACGCTTTCTTCCCCCACCTCCTGGGAGTCAACGTGGGTTTTCGGAGAGATCTAATCACTAAATGTGATAGTTTAGCAGTTCAGGGATTAGACAGGCATGACTACATGGGGCATCAAAGAAGTCCCTGGGCTTTGGTGGATGTTTCCACCCTCTGCAGTCATCAACGACAACGTTATTCACATTCTTATTCACATTGCCTTTTGGTGGCCTCTGGCTTTCAGTGTCAGAGGGAGCCCTTGGTGAAGAGACCACTCCCTCTCTGGCCCAAAATAAACCTCTTAAGAGCTGGATTAAGCCTCTCTGTGTTATGGCCCATACATAAGACATTTTGGATTGCAGGACCCCGTGATATGACATCCATGTGCTGTTTCCTGATTGAGAAATTACTCAGCCAGCCATATTGTATTAACTCTAGATGGTTTAAACATGCCTGGGCCAGAAATCAGGTACTTCAAGCAGGTCATATATTGAGGTCCTTCCAAACTCCCAGATTCAACGCTCTCAAGAGTCCTGGTGTTATTTTCACACACTCAAGCCTTCAGTCCAGTGGTCAGCCGGAGCATTAGGCCACATGGGTGCAAGTCCAATATGGAAACCGTCCTCCTCTTTCTACAAACAAGCGTCTCCTTCAGTTTGCCATTCTTCTCTCTTTTCTAACTCCCTCCTGAAGCTGAGCTTTCCTTCTCAGGGGGGAGAGGGGTCGGGAAGAGAATATAACACAGGCATGCGGAGCTCCCCTCTCCATTGCCCTCATTTCTGAACTGGGCTGACTTTTGTCCCTGAGTGTGTTCAGGATGGATATGCTCTGCCCAAATCTAAGATCTGTCCTGTTTCTGCTCTCACAGAGGAAAGACTCATGCATCCTGGAGTGGATGAGGAGTTGGGGTCAGCTTCCCAAAAGAGCCTGACATTGGAAGTCTCAATGCTACTATATACTGTGAGAGTCAGGTTGAGCAACTGAAGCTAATTTTCAAACACAATAAAGACAAAGTAAAACAAAATCCATTAAAAAAAATACAAACCGTTGGATATAACTGATACTCCCTCTTCAACTCAACTCTCCAATTATTTCTCAGAATCAGTATATCCTATGTGACCTCAGGCAGGTTCCTTAACCTCTCTGTCCCTCAGATCCCTCACCTGTAAAGTAGGGCGAAACTCGTAAACACCTCATAGGTTTGTTGTGTGGATTAAATGGGATAAGGCATGCAAAGTGCTGAGAACAAGCTTGGAGTACAGTAAGCGGTCTCTAAATGTAGGCTGATAACCACACCAGGCATTTTCTTTCTACCTCCAGGAAACCTTACTTGCTATTACCGTTCATGCTTTTAGGGACTGAAAAGACCTTGGCTTTCAACCCAGCCATTGCTGCTGGCAGATTTCATATCTGTAACACCCCGAGTCCTTGCGGTCATTGATGTTCTTGTCTTGCTGTATAAGTCGAGTCCCTGGTGGTCAGGCTGGTTCCTGGGAGACGTGGCCCTCACCAATGAGCAGCTTTTCTTCTGGAAGGCACTGTCCTGGTCATCTCAGGGAAGATCTCACGCATCCTAGCCTAATTTCTTGATCCTTACATCTCTTGATCTTGCTAGAATGACAGAGATAAGATCATTTTGCAGTTTTTGTACCCAGGTGTGCTATATCCTTCCAATCAGGGGAAAAGAGAGCTTAGCAATCAAATAGTTGCTTTATTTGATCAACTGTGCATCTTCCCAACTTGATCAAGTCTTCCTATGCCTTGAATCTTTCCTACCCAAAGCTTGGCAGATTTGCCACCCCAAACTTTTTTCTTTGATGATTTGAAACACATAAAAGCAACAACAGAAGGCTTTTTACAAGTTACAGCAATTTTTTTTTACGTGTCAAAAATACCTCTTGTTGCTTGATTGATGTGCGTGCACAGTTTAAAAGTACAAATCACCTGTTCCATATGCATTTTCTGGATGCCCACACTCTTTAATTCCTGGAAGGCCCAAAGAGCAAAATAGCACCCTCCCTAATTCTTTCTGCTACTGCTACTGATAAAAGGAAACGAAATGTATTAGTCACCACCCAGCAACTCAGGCTCCGGTTCACATTGCGAGACTTGCTCATTAAAGCAGGAATGGGGTACAGAGCCAGAAAGGAGGGGTTTGCATTTAGCCTGTGATGGGAGTAACAAGTTGATCAGCATGACACACCGGCTCCACAACGGGGAATACCTTAAACAATTCCATCAACATTGATTTACTTTAACCAGGTGATATTTTAATGAGCCAACCCCAGTGCTCCCCGGATGACACGACTTCTCAAACTAAGAGAGCACAACACCTTTAAAAGGAAAAAAATAACTAAAAAAGCCAGAGAGCTGACACTTGCAGATGAGTCTAATTCTCTTTGTCCTGCGGACATGCACTGTGTTGGGAGAGCTCCAAGTGCATCAAGCTGATTTTTGCTGTCATCAGAACTGACCCTCGGTCCCCCAGGAGGCCTGTGGCCTGTCTGCTACAATGACAGGAAAGAAGCCAAGCTTCAACTTAAGGTCCTCAGATGTGCAGCACAACAGGCTTCGTCCAGCCCTGATGAGGGCAGCTGGATCGCATGAATTTTTTAAAGGAAAACAACTGATTTGGGGGGCGGGGGGAAGGGTAGCGGGTCTTACGTTTCCCCCCTGTGAAATCCCCACAGAAGAAACGCACGAAGCCAGCGTGTTGATTTTGGCATCGGCACACACAGTCCCTCTGTTCTGAAGATGAGCTGACACGTGCAGATTTGCAGATCAGCCATTTCAAAAGGTTAATTAAATATTACCATTGTTTTCCAAGCTATTAATGTATGTTCTTTTATTTCTTCATGCAAAAGGCTTCTCCCCACTCAAAAATCAGGGTTTGGATTTGCCTCCCAATCCCTTCCCTTTTTGAAAACCTAGAAAGCGAATGACCAAGGGGCCTAGAGAGAGAGAGAGAGAGGGAGAGATACAGAGACTCCGAGGCCAGAGGCAAAATGTAGTTCAGAGCTGGGGAAAGACTGGGACTGGCATTGTCTGAAGTGAAGCCCCTGAAACTCATTCTCAGCTGCAGCTGGGATTAGAATCATGTCCTTCAAGGAAGGTTCTAGAAAGGAGCCAGAAAGGAACCCCTGCACTTTCTACCTTTATTTATTGCTGACATAATTGCCGCATTGGAGTTCAGGAACGTTGTAAGCCCTGGCCTTTGGTGGTTCTGGGGGAATGTCAGTATGTGGGTCGGCCAAATGGCCAGTGAGGACAGAGGCAGGAACGGGTCCCACTTTGCAATGTCTGTCTGTCCCCTACCACCTCCAGGTGACACAGTTTTCTCCCTGCCTGGGGCGTCCTGAGGTTGGCAGGAGAAGGCCCTCAGTGCAAATGGGAGAGGGATTCCAAGATGGACGACAAAGGATAATAAGACAGAGGTCAGGGAGAGGACAAGGTTCCTCTCGGGCAGGAAGTGCCACCCTCTGTGACTGCAGTTTACAAGAATCCTGAGCCACGATGAGCACAGCGGTCTGCAGGAAATCTCTCCAGACAACCCATCTTCCAGGGCGAGCAGGACATGTTTTGTTTGCAAAGTAATAATGCCTCCCTGGATGTAGGGAGGAGGCAGCTAACCTACGGCGTAATGAATGAAAAACAAACGAGCAGAATGAAGACGGGTGACACGGGGTGCCAAGGGCAGGGTGGGGCTGGCACAGATGGACAGACGGAGGGGGAGGGCAGGACCAAGTCTGGTCACAGATAAAGTAGGAAGAGTATTCATGCCGTCCTGTGCAGGACACCGACCTGGAATATTTGACCTCCCATCCACCCAGATTCAGGCCAAGCCATGGGAAACTCCATCCCCAGAGGGCTAAGTGGCACTGCAACGTGGCACCTACAAGTGCAGACTGCAGTTCTTCAAAGATCTGGGGTCTGATAGTCTCCGTCAGTCTCTGGGTGAGTTTCCTTAAGGTTTTTCAATTCCGAATGTTTCCAATTTTAAATACAAATGGCTATATTTTCAGCGTTGTTAAAATGATAAAATGGAAGAAAAAAAAAAAAAGCACGTAAAGTGCCTGGTTTACGGTAGTGCTCTTGAAATGGGAGGAAAGAGAGGGAGAGGGAATGTGGGTGAGCCCAGGGGAGGGACAGACCGCGCAGGAGGGGGAGTGCCTGGATGCCTTGGCCCTTCTGGAGCCATCTGTCAGCAAGGCCTCCCAGGGTGTCCTGGTCCAGCTTCCCCAGATGAGTTCATTCCCATCTCCCATGATCCACCGGCAGCGTCCCGTCTGCTGCATCTGTCCGGACACGGTCTCCCCTTGGGGAAGGGTCGCCTTGACACCCTGGCTGCCCACACCCAGAGCTGAGGCCCTGCACAGGTGGGAGGCTTGGTGGTGACTGGGCAAAGTGCATGTTTGCACACGCTGAGCTGTGAAGAAGTAGAAAGGAGAGGCACACACATATCCTCCTGAGCGTGTTTTAAGTGCTGAGATGCAGCCTCCAGAGAAAAGTGCTGGGTCTCCTGTAAGACTGGCGCCTGGGGGACAGGTACAGAAAGAACATGATGTAACAGATACCAGGACCTTGAGCTGAATTCATTCCAACCCTGTATAGACTGGCACCTAATGTGTGCCAGACCCATAATGAAATATCAGAGTGCATGGGAGAAGCCCCCGACCAGGCACTGCTCCTCATGTATCTCATATCACAGCACAGGGACCAGAGACCGAGAGTTAATAGAGAGCAACCGCAGATCACAGAGCTAGAGAGTAGGGGTAAGGAGAGAGGGGGCAGAAAGTCCCTTCTGGGAGAGGAAACAGCTAGTCTAAACAGGGCAGGTATGGTAAGGACGCCCAGAGGATTGTCTGCTGGCCTAGTAACACCCCCGCCCCCATGGCCAGGGAGGGGGCCCCAGCGAGGACGTGATCTAGCCCACTGGCAGCAATTAACTGATGTGACGGTGGACAGACCTCCAGCTCCCTGGATCTAGGCTAATTGGCCTAGCAGCAGGCTCCAGGCTAGGGTTGCCAAATGTGGCAAGCAAAATCTCAGGATGTCCAGTTAAACTTGAATTTCAAATAACTAGTTAATAACTTTTTAGTGTAAGGATATCCCATGCAACTTTTGGGAGATACTTATAACTGAAAAGTGATGAGTTGTTTCTCTGACATTCTAATTTCTCTGGGCATCCTGTATTTTATCTGGCAGCCCTACTCCTGTCCCAAACTGGGGCTTCAGGACAGCACTTTCTGCAGGATGCAATTAAAAGAGAACTGAGTCTGCCTCTCTCCAGGGACCAAAAGACGTTTTCTGCCATGAAAAGAAGGCCAACCCACCAGGGAAAGAAGAAGATGAAGTCAGAAGTCAGTGAGCAGCCGAGACGAATGAAGCAGCAGTGCCAACAGCCTTCAAGGCCAGGTTCAAATCTCATCTCCTCCCTGCCCTTCCTACAGCCTGGCTCTTCTGTTCTCTACTTGCCAGTCTTGACTCCCTGCCCACCCCACCCCAGCCCCCAGCTCCTGTGGACAGGGGGAAACTCTAATTCATCAGCTCCGTGTTAATCTAGCAAGCAAGCACACCTTTCGCACAGTAAGGCCAGGGTTACTGAGTTACATGGTACAGGGTCAGCGCAATATTATAAGAAGAAATACCATTTCTTATACAGACCAGACTGGGTGTTTTTCAAAGGGAATTAATCCTCAGGATGATGACTTATTTTTGATTTCCAAATTTAAGGAGAATACGAGCCAGAGTTGAAACACATACCTTCTCCCACGCTGTCCACAGATCCAGAAGTTCCTCCCCAAACCAAGCAGAAACACTCGCTGACAGCTCAAGGAGACCTAACGTGTCTAAAACTCGTGCGACAAATTATTTACCACAAATAATAGGCCCCGGGTTCATATCCTATAAAGAGAACCTACAAACCAGTAAGGAAAACACTCTCAGCCCCTCCCCCCAAAACGGGCAAGGAGATACTCACAAAAGGAATAGAAATTTCTAATGAACGTATGAAAAGATGTCCAACCACATTAATAAGCAAATAAATATAAACAAAAATATCCAAATGCCCTTTCAGACTATTAAATTGACAAATTAAGAAAATCAATTCTACCGAATGCTGGCCAGGGTACTCACTCTGTGGCACTCATGGTATTTCCCTAATATACAAAAAAGAACTCTGCAAAGTGATAAAAGACAAGGAGTCCAATAGAAAAATAAGCAAAAGGTTTGAACAGGCAATTCCCAACAGAGATGCAAGCGGTCAAGGTAGGTGAGCTATAGATGCAAATTTTGACTGAGATGAGGATTTAGAGTCAGGTAATTAATTGCTCATCCTCACAGTTGGGGAAGGTCAAGACCCAACGAGACATCAATTCCCAGCCTATGACATCACAAGGACTGATAATGTCTATTCCTGGGAAGCGCTTTGGGAAACAGCCAGCCTCTCACAAACTATTGGTGGCTGTAAATATTCTTCTGGTGTTTTTAAAGGATAATTCAGCAATGTCTATTCAAAGCACCTAAAATCTCTGACATCTTGTTTCTTCCTTGAAGATGGAGAACTATTGTTTACCTTCCTCCTCATAAAAGGAAATTTCCAATGCTTACTGTCTCAGGAAATAATCCTTATTCCTTGGTCCCCTCTTCCCTAATTTAAAAAATACATTTTTAAAATTTACAGGCAATGGGGTTACTTTCCTCATGTTTTGATCCATTTTATCTCTACTCTGGGCAGTCTTTAACAAATCATCTCTCTCTCTCTTTTTTTTTTTTAACATTTCATGAAGAATGTGGTGATGATAGGAAAGCCCCAATTGTTAAAAAAATGAACATTTATTAGGGATCTTTCATTTTCCTAAGTAATATTTGCTAATTATATAAATTGGGGGAAAAGTAAAAATAAAAGGAAGAAAAAAATGAAATAGTACACACACACACACACACACACACAAAAAAAGAATGTGGTGACCAATATGGGCACAAGATTATTCTTAAAAAACAAAATTGAATGCCGAGGACTGTCCCAAAGGAATTAGATTTTCAGCACAGGAGGGGAAGCAGTGATTGTGATGGGGAAGACGAGCACTACATCCAGGGCACCCAAGCAGCGCTCCTAATACATGGCCCGTCCCTCCCCTTCCTTCCTTGGAATTTTTCCCACTGCCCCTTCAACTAAGCACCATACTCCCTTCTTCAAGATGCCCTTCGTTGCTGGGCAGGAGTCCCTGCGCCTGGAACCCTGCCCCATCCCATCTCCTCAGGCTGTCTCCTGCAATCATTCTGCCAGCTCCTGAGATGCTGCTTCCTCCACAAAGCTTCCCACCTGTCCTGAGCCACTGCAGCTCCCTCTCTCCTCCTTCCGTTGTTCGTACGGAATAGCGGTGGGCTCAAGGATGCCCTGTCCAGTAAATGGCTGCAGCCGCCTGCACCTCCTTTTCTAGGCCATCTGTGGCCATGATGGCTGAGGCCCGAGTTTATAAATGTGCTTTGCTTGGATCAGCAATGCGGAAAGTCTGTGGAGAGACTGCCTTCTCCGGAGATGGCCTTGCGGAGCATCACCAAAGATCAAGGTTCAGTGACTTGGTAAAACGTGGCTCGAACTTAGGGGTCAAGTTTGCTCCTTCAACTTACTTCAGCCTTTCTGCACGTGTCCCAAGTGTCCTTGGGATAGAGTATTGCTGAGTTAAACTGCCAAGATCTGAAAATTAAACTCACAACAGTGACTTTAGTG